GGTTGTGCAGGTATGTACAAGGTTGCTACGACATCGAACTCTGACAGCCTCTCTACCGCGAGGAGAACAACTTACCGCTACCAGCCATACCTACGTGTAAAAATAGACCTTCATCCGGTGCGCTGCATTTTTCCCCTTTCCTCTGAACCATGATAACCAGAACGACGGGCGCTGCTGGACACGTCAAGAGTATCTGCAGCTCCGAGCTCAGCTGATAGATTGTCGTCTGCTAGCTGGTGATGCTTCCTTCAAGTACGCCAAGGTCATCCGGTTAGCTACTGGCGAAGATGGGACCCGCGCACGGCCGGTCTACGAAATTTTCACCATCATGAACGAGTACAACCAGGTGAGGTGACCCTTGTGGTGGAAAGGTGCTTGCTGGTAATTTGTCCATACATATACGCGTACCGTATCACACGCCAGTACGCCTGTGTCAGCATTGACAAGTCGTGGAAGGCATGAAATTACATCCTCCCGATTGCTTTTTCTCCCAGGTGATATTCTCGAAGGTCATGTCCACTGCATCGGTCTACGACCTCAAGAACGACCTGAAGATGTTGTTCGTGAAACGCTTCGTCGGCCATGGTTTCAAGCTCCCGGTCATCTTCTATTCCGGTACGTTGGGTGTTATCAGTTGCCTCGGGCAAATACAGGTCAGGTCATGTCTTGGGTGGGTTGCGTGGAATCGTGCAGAATACCGCGGACCTTTAATCCCGCTTCCACTTATATTTCTTGCACAGACGACTGCTGCGAGGATCGACAACTGCTGCTCTCGATGTTCAAGGAGATAGAGTCGGAGGACCACGTGCGCTTGTACGATGCCGCTGCAGAGGGTGCGATTGAACTGTTGCCCGAGCTGATGTTCCCCCCTGGCAAGAGAGGCGAGCTCGTCTATGACCTGAGACCTAGCGTCATCGCGATCCCAGTCACGAGCCTTCTGGACGAATGCGAGCGGGTGGAGANGGGCTATATTTGGGGTGGCGTGTTTTACAGCGCTTTGCCAACAGCGCCAACCCACTGAAGTCTAGATTGCGCGGGGGGTTGGGGGTGGGTCTTGTTTTTTTCGTTGAGGCACTTTTCGTTTAGTCACTTGTGTCTCGTTTTTTTATGCTTGATTAAGCTTTTCGTTTCTTTACTTCTGCAGGTTGGCGTCAACGTCAACTTGGACGCGACATACCTTGCGCGGGACTACAGGGTCCAAGTCGCGAACACCGTGGACCTGGGGGTTTACGCGAGACAGGGCTGGGTGGAGACCCCCTCCTATTCGCTGGCGGGTATGACGTCTTCTTTGCTCAGGAAAGAGTTGCCGAAGAATGCGATCATCCGCTTGTCTCGCTGGAGTGGTCCTTCCCTAACGGACAAGCAGGTGTTTTATTTCGGATGCAGCGCTCGTGTTTTTTTTTTGTCGGCTACTTGGTCCGTTGCGCCATTTTTTTTTGCATTGCGCATATGATGTATGCTTAAACGCTATTTCTGTGACTCCCTGCCAAGGCCGTTGCAGGTGCAGTACGCCTGCCTGGATGCGTACGCGTCCGTTCTCCTTTGTCAGGAGATCAGAAAACTCCAGGATCCTATTCTCTCCCCTCCTCCGAAGGATTTGCCATCCGGAACCGAGGTGCGTGGATGCAGTTACGGAAGCCTCGCGTTATTCGGCCCAAGTTACCCGCCCCCGGCCAAAGCTCATACTTGGGTAATCTTCACCATGACGTCGCCTTTCCTGTTGCATGCTACCGCTGCCGTTTTTGCTCTCGTCTCGATTATGCCAGGTACGGCTCTACACCAACAATCATGCCAGCTGTGTTGGTGTTGGAAAAATGGTGGACGATGATGCCGCTGCGGAAGCCTTGGCCACCTGGGGCGTTAGGGGGAAAGGGCGTGGACAGCGAGCCGTAGTCAGCGTCAGCGAGGTGTTCAAGCCTGCAGCGTACGTGGCACACATGGGTGCACCTCCTGTACCCCCTGCGTCTTCAGATGCGGAAGGTGGACCTGCTACGTCTCCGAGGGCCGGTCATGCGACGATGGAGGACGTGCAGAACGGCGGCGGTGCCCAACTTGTTCCTTGGGATGTCGACGACGTTCGTCTCGCGAACGAGTGGAAACCACCTCCTGCAGCAGCAGGGTCTTCAGCGAACGTGAACACGAGTGCAGCTTACAACGACGACAACCAGGTCTACTCTTACCCGACCCCTCCGCACGTGGTGCAACCAACAGGTAAAATTCCTGGCGCCCATCCACCGTCGTTGAAATCGTGCTGAACGGTTGTACTTACGCCTTTCCTGACCGACGTTTTCTCTCTTTCCCCGTTTTTCTTCGCGTGTATGTTCGCAGAGGAAGACCCGGACGACGGAGTTGAGGATGGCTGCGACGGCCATGACTGCGGCGACGTTGGTAGCTCCGGCGGTAGCGATCATTGGGGCGGGGCGGGAGGCGAGGCCGAGGGCGAGGGGAGCGGGGGCGGTAGCGGTGCTGATGTCGCCATGGATTACTGGGTGAGTGGTCTCGAAGCGTGGGTGGCAGCTTTTTTCGAGACTGTTTTTCGTATTGCGCTGTTTTTGTTTCATCCGGCGTTCCAATATCGTTGTTGAATGTGCGCCAACTGTTTTCAGGGAGGCTGCCAGCCTGCGCTGAACGTTCGCCTGGATATCTTCCACGCACTGCAACGCATTTCGAGGCTGTGTAAGACCAAGCACGGCGCCTTCAAGCCCTTCATGGCGCGACTGAGAGACGCTTGCTTCATTGTCAACGCGGATGACGTCAAGGAGGCAAGTGCTGTTGACGTCGTTGTCCTTGGCGTTTAAATTGCTGTCGACGTGAGTAGGCCTGGAACTTCGGCATCAACGTATGTATATCATGACCAACATCAAATCTCGCTTTAAACCGCAGGTAGAACGAGCGCTTGAAGGCCAAGGGATGACATCGGAAGCCATTGCTGAGTACAAAGACAAGAACTGGACGTACTTCTTGCGGAATTGCCGGCGATTGGTGCCGGAGCCGAAACGACTAAATACTCGAACGCTTCAACTCCGTCATTGAAATGTTCGGGAACGTGGTGGATGCGAAATCCGGAGAAAAACTTCTTCGGTCGGACGCGATGAAGGACGTCAACCTGCTCCTCAAGCATATCGAGACCGGCTGCCTAAGCGACCCTGAGGGTGTGCCGCTGTACTACCCGACGGGACAGAATGCCGCGGGGATCACGACTCATCGCTGCGTGCGAGGCACCAACTGCACCGAGGTACCAGTTTTTTTTCGCTCGGCGTGTGCATATTATCTCAGGCGTTGCGTCACAGCCCGCTGATGTTGGCATCCCTTCTGATTACATCGTCTTCCTGCAGTGCTGGTATTTACGCAACTACTCACCTAGCGTGTTTCCTCGCCTATTCGACGTACTGCCCTTCAAGGGTTATCACCGCTACCTTCGCAGGCTGCTGTCATCGTACTGTGCATCTCCTGCACTGGCCCATTCTGTTCTCCTCGAGTTCAACTTCCGCTGGAACGTGAGGATGGCTGTGAAGAACCGCGGCCTACCAAGGGAGGTTGGAGAGTTCTTCGACCAGTATGAGATTGAGATCATTCAACGTGACACCGCTAGCTGGTACCCAGACAATCCCCTGTTTCCTGAATGGGTGTCTGCGCTGGACGTAGCAGATACTGGTGAGAGGAGCGACCTTTCTCAGAGCATGTGGGGGCCTGCTAGTGGTGGTGACGCGCCGGGCGATCTTGTTGACGAGCAAGCGTCGCCCCAACATGCCATACCCATGCCAAAGCCCACGCATTCTGCGAAAAAGTACGCCGAAATGATGAACATCGGCATGCCGTGCACGCCCGTTCACACTGGAGCAGAGAGGCGGAAGTTTACATGCGAGATGAACAGCTATCTCTATGTGCCGGGAGAGGCGAGGGGGAGGAGGCAGATCTACGAAAGCATTAACTTTGATAGGTGGTCCCACGAATGGAACAACCATTGTGCCCAAATCGAGAGTGGCGCCGTAGAGTGGGAGGCAGTGTACCGTAAAACCTCCCACCAGCTGGAGTCATACTGCAAAAATAATGTAGTTAAACGCGCCAACAGTAGAGTGACGATGATGGCTGTACAAAGCATGAATAACTACCTGGGCGCGAGGCTGCAGGAAGGGGAAAGCGGTGAAAATTTTGACGGATTAGTCGGTACCATGGCCCCTCCTCCTGTTCAGCGGAGTGTAGCCGGAGGGGGTGCTGCGGGTGCGGAAGGTTTGCCGGAAGCAGGGGTGCTGCGGGTGCGGAAGGATTGCCGGAAAATGTAGAGATGGGTGGTGGAGGAGATGATGATATGGGGGATGGTGAGGGTGACGGTGGAGGCAGGGATGACGTAGGAGAAGCCCCACGTACGAAAGCCAGGGCAGGCACACGGGGGGCGCAGATGTGCAGTACGTGCGGCCACCGCAGACAGCAAGGCTCGTACAGGAGCGCGCACCCTACCTCGAGAGAAAAGGGGGGGAGGCCGCCATGCAATGAGCCACCAGAGGAGTGTCGGCCGGAGAGTGAGAGAACAGGAAAAACTAGAGGAGGAACGAAGTCTTGGTCTCGATGTGATTGTGCGAAGTGCACAGCAGTTGATGGTTGAAGAAACGTGTGTTGGCGTAGTAGTAGGTAGAGCTGCATTGCACGGTTCAGTTTCAAGACGTTCTCACGTTATTATCATGTTCTGTTCTCCTACGTGGTGTGTGGCAGCAATTTTAAATTTTCATCTTTTCGAACTGCTTGGAAAAAATCCAAAGTGCGCAGGAGCTAAAACCACTCAACAAATGGTGATGGTGGCTTTGCCCTCGCACGGGAAAAGCTTTTTGCTAACAATGGCGGGGGCGATCTTGTTGCCTCTAGACTTGGATCGCGCTTTTCACGCATTTTTCCCCATGCGCAACGCTTTGGTGCAAATAAGCACAACGCTTTGAACAAATCACCAATTCGTTTCGAACATACAGGGAAACGCAACGCAGAAAACCGTATAACCATTGCTCACCGCGTCGATGAGCAACTGTAGTTAACGTACGCTGCTATTTCCTGATTTTTGTGGGAAGTTTTTCCTGAGTAAAAACGCCTCTCGCGCGAAATAATTTAATTGGGCCCCAGATGTCCCCTATGTATGGGAGGTGAGCCTACAAAAAGTCTCCCTAAAACACGTCGGGACACTTTTCATACTGAAGCCAAGTCAGCAAACTTTTCCAGTACCAGGCGAATGACAGCAGTGCGGTGAATAATGGCGTTTGAGTGCTGTGTCCCAAAGTGTCCCCAAATCGTCCCCGAAAAGGCTTCCAGCACTGGGAGGTTTAAGAGCAAACGCACTGTTTTCTGTGCGCAAAATGGATACGACCGATTCTACTCCTCCAACCCCATTACTATCAAACCGACTCGCACCGAATTCAACCGGCCACAGGGTAGCATTCCAACACCGCTGCAGTACTGTACCACCGACCACCTCCACCTTAGGTAGCATTCCGACTCAGTCGTACCAAACTTGCCACCCCCCGCATTAGTTCCGGTTCTGTGTTCATGAAACACCACAGCAGGTTGAACACCGTAACACAGCAGTGAAGTAGCGTATGCGACGTGTGATAAAAAATGTCTTGTTTGCCGCCTACGCCACTTATTTGTCGGGTGAGACTGTTTTGGTGATGTATTAACTTCACGAGAGAGAGGTAGACGACGGTCCTTCACATGGACGAGAGAGGGAGTGCTCAAAGAGCGGCTCCCACAGCAAGGAGGGGCTCGTGAATCATCGCGGTGCCCCCTACGAAACGGCAATCGTACCAGTCTGCGTGACACCAAATCATCCAGCACATGTGTCCAACACCAATGTTCGCAGACCCACGAACACCCTCCCTGGTTCTTCACGCAAGTGACTAACCATCAATGGGGCAAGAACACCCCTGGATACATAGAAAAATACCAACTTTGTCATATATGGAGGGGAAACCCGGCCTCCGGGCAAAACCCCTCGAAAAAACCCCTACCACCACAAAAACGTCGCTATCACAGCGGATCACAACGGTCGCACATATTATAAAGGCCAAGGCGAAGACAAGAACGCGAGGAACTACGTTCCCCCGGACCTCTGGATACATCAGAAAATACCAACATGGTCAAACATGGACAGGAAACCCGGCCTCCGGGCAAAACCCCTCGAAAACCCCCCTACCACCACAAAAACCGTCGCTATCACAGCGGATCACAACGGCCGCACTTAGTAGAAAGGCCAAGGCGGTCCAAAGAACGCGAGGAACTACGTTCCCCCGACGATGGTCTCCCAACGCCCCCTACTCCTGCCATTGGTACACAGACCGCAACAGTTATGCGCATTTCCCCGCATGGAAAACATGGCCTCTCCCAAGTACTAGAAACTCCTACAGCTACTCCGGCATATTCATCGACTTGCACCGGGGGTACTGCAGACTAGCCCTGCTAAGGGCCTTGGTTAGGAGGTCCGCGTGTCGCTCCGTTGTCGGAACGATTTTGACCGAAATATCCCCCGACCTAGACAATCCGCGGATGAAGTGATGTGTTTCGTGCGACTTGAGCTGAGGGGCTTCTACACCAACGCTATGGCGCCCTGGTTGTCCTCAAGGACCTCGATGCTGCTACCACTGGTCTCTGGGGCAACAAACGAAAGTACAGCACGCACAAACAACGCCTCCTTGACTCCCTCTTCGGCAGCAATGTACTCGGCTTTCGTCGAAGACAGCGACACGATTCTCTGTGTCTTGCTACCATGGCTGACTACGGTACCTCCAACCGTTGTCGCCAACCCTGACACCGAACGCGTATCCTCCGTGTCGGCGTAGCTAGCGTCTACGTACACGGCCAGCCCTATCCCCGATCCCCGTTGGTAGGTGATGCCGAGATCCCTCGTCCCTTTCAAGTAGCCGAGGATCTTCTGGATGGCATCCCAGTGCCTCTTCGCCGGGGCGTGGGCATGGCGCGCTACCGCACGCACGGCGAACGAGACGTCTAGACGCGGAACGTCGACACCCGCATCATGCTGCCGATGGCCTCCCTCACCGGCCACTCCCCTCTCTTCTTGTCATCTCGCTTCGGGCCGAGGTCGACACCAGGGGAAGCAGGGATGACTCGTACCTCGGGTTTCGGCGAGGGTTCTCCCTGGAGCGGCGGCTGGTTAGTTCCGCCGGCTTGTCGAAGCGGGCGAGCCGCCGGGCCTCTGGCCCACGCAGCGCCGGGAGGTCCGTCTCGCTGCCGCTGCTGCTGCTGCTGTCGCTGCCGCCGTCATCGCCGCTGCTGCCGCCGCTGCTGCTGCTGTCGCTGCCGCCGTCATCGCCGCTGCTGCCGCCGCTGCTGCTGCCGTTGCCGCTGCAGCCGCTACCGCGGCTGCTGCTGCTGCGGCGGTCGTCCTCGCCGCCCCCCACATCGGCCGTGCCGGTCGACGTGGTAGATGGGGCGACGCTCGCGCTCTCCCTGCTCGAGGGGGCGCCATCGCCAGCGTCGCCCGGGCCCGACTGCTGGGGCACGGCCGGTGGTGCCGCCGGCGCTACGCGCGCGGGGGGCCCCGCGGGCCCCGGGTCTGCCGTCGTGCCAAGGTTGAAACCTGGTCCTCCATCCACAGGTTCTCCCTCCGCCCTCCCTCCACCTTGGCTCGACGTGCCCTCCCCAACCTCGTCCTCCTCAGTCGCGAATTCCTCTTCCTCCTCTGTGATGGGAGGCAGCGACTTGTATACGACAGGTTTGAGGGACGGGTACGTCGTCCCCCGGCGGGGGAGGGAGCCCGTGCCAAATCTCCTACGGCGATTTCTTCTCGGGGTTGGATGTGGTCGAGGTGCAGTTCAGGGCGTTGCATGCCCAAGCTATGGCCTCGGCCAAAAGGGAAGGGTAGTTCGGTGCTCGGGGGTAAAGAGTTGGCGCTTGGAAACGAGCAGCTAGTGCTGCATCCTTGATCAGACCCAGTGCTCCTTCAGCTACGCCGTTGTATTCTGGGCTGTGTGCGGGGGTGAACTCCTGTTTGATGCAGTACTTCCGGCACACCCTGCCGAACTCTCCCTCAAACAACTCTCCTCCGTTGTCAGATCTCACGACCATGACATCGGACGGGGCACCGTCTGCCCGGTTTTCTGCAAGGTACCTCTCGAAAGCCTCAGCTGCGTCTGATTTGTGGTTTAGGAAAAAGACACGGTTCCACCTGTGTAACCATCCTTGACAATGAGAGTGTACCGCTTCCACCCCAAGCTCTGCACCTTAGCTTTTCCACTCAAATCCACGAAAACTCGCTGCAGTTTCTTAGCTGCTCGGGTCGACGTCTTGTTGGGGATGGGCTTGGAAATCCCCTTCGCCGTCAAGCACCCCAGGCACTCCCGGAGCTCGCCCACCAGCGTCGTCCCTTGCTGCTTCGCCGTGGTCCTCAGCAGCACCTCGTGGGAGTGGCCGTGCGCGCAGTGGAANTTCGCGTTGCCAGGAGCAATTGCGGCATAGGAATGTTCGGTGTGTGTGCGGAAACCCTTTGGACGTACGGGTTACCGCATCGGGGGAAGTACACCGACTTACCCCCTCCCTCTTTCCAATTCCAACTCGTGCTTGTGGAGGGTTTCGGTTTGGAGCCCATCGTCGAAGAGGGAAGTGAGAGATACTAGGTTGTAATCTAGTCGGGTAACGTGTGCAACCCGTTTCAACAACAGGTCGGTTGTGCCGTCGCGCGAGCTAAGGGTTACCGTCACGTCGCCGNCATAGGAATGTTCGGTGTGTGTGCGGAAACCGTTTGGACGTACGGGTTACCGCATCGGGGGAAGTACACCGACTCACCCCCTCCCTCTTTCCAATTCCAACTCGTGCTTGTGGAGAGTTTCGGTTTGGAGCCCATCGTCGAAGAGGGAAGTGAGAGATACTAGGTTGTAATCTAGTCGGGTAACGTGTGCAACCCGTTTCAACAACAGGTCGGTTGTGCCGTCGCGCGAGCTAAGGGTTACCGTCACGTCGCCGTACCCCGCGATGGGGAACAAGGTTTATCCGGCGGCGACGCGCACACGTCGATCAAACTCTTCGTAACGAACAAATCCGTCTGAGTTCGCGAACATGTGGGTGGTAGCGCCGGTATGGGCAACATACCTACCCCGCCTAACCTGCTCTACACCCCCTCGACCAACGACTTTGTGGCACTCGCCTGAGATGCCACCGACCACCAGCGCCTCTTCTGCCACGTCCAGTGCTGTGGCGTTTGCAGACGCCCCCTCCACCGGCGCTTCCACCACGAGCACCGCCCCCTCGGTCGGGCACTTGCTCTTGTCGCGCCCGTAGCCCTTGCATGTCACATCGCACGGGCTTGCTCTCGGTGCAGTCGGCCACCTAGTGGTCCTTCTTGCCGCACCGGAAACAGCGACCGCGCATGCTACCCGCATCGTCGTCGCCGCCTCCGCCGCCGCCACCAGCCTTCGCGCCACCCCCTCTCCCCTTTTGGTTGCCGCCGCTGCCGTCGCTGCCGCCGCCGCCGCCGCCGCCGCCACCCTTGCGGCGGCCGCCGTTGCCGCGGCCCGGCGCTCCTCCCCCACCGCTACCGTCGCTCGCGAGGAGAGCGTGCTCCGCCCTCCGCTGGCCCTTCGAGGCCTTCCTCCCCTCCGGAAGGCTCGCGTGTACCGTTCTCACGATTCTGACGATCTCGGCGCTATCCAGCGCCGTTGCTGTCTCCAACAGAAACTTCGCTTGTTGGTACTCGGGTGGGAGGGAACCAACGAAGTGGGCGAGAACAAAGGGTGCGTCAGCGTGGAGCCCTTTTTCGCGTTGGCGCGAGTACAGCAGCTCGAGCGGTGCTCGATGGGGTTTCTGCTGCTGTGTGTGGGGATCGTGAAGTTGAACATTTGCTTCATGAGGGCTTGTTTCGAGCCCTGCGATTCCGGATCGTAGATTTTGTCGAGTTCCGCGAGGATCTCTTTTGCGGTCTCGCATTTGTTCACGATCGCCTTGTCGGCTTCTCTGACGATGGCAGTGGTCACAAAATGGAACGCTTGGAGGCCCCTCTGGACCTCGTCGCTGGTGTATTGGAGGCGGTACAGCTCCGAGCTTGGCACGTTTGGGTTGCCGACAGGTGCATGTCTCTCGTTGTTGCCGATCAATTGGCCGTCCAGTCCTACAGTCTTGGCCGCTTGGATAAGAGACTTTCTCCACGAGTCATACCCATGGCCGCGACTCTCCCCTTCGAAACGCGGGGCATTGNTCACCCCCGCCGAGCGGCTGCATGGGCTCTTCTTGTTGGCCTTCGGTGGCGTCAACNTTGTAACTCTCTTCATGTGGCTTCTGCTGTAGCCGTCGAGGAATTATCCATTTCCTCGAATCACGGGTATCTCACCTGGGGGGTTTAACCCCCTCGCTTCCCCGTAGTCCGGTCCTATGCCCGGGCCCACTCCGGCTGGTCCAACAGGGTTCGCTCCCGATCTGCTGGCCCAGCCGCCTTCCAGCAGCGACCGTGGTCCTTGCCCACTATCTCTCGTTTGCTGCTGGAGAAATCCCCCGCCACCGCCGAGCGGCAGCGTGGGCTCTTCTCGTTGGCCTCTGGGGGCAGCAACCCAGCCACCCCTACTGGCTGCATCCGCCACGACGCTGCCAGGCTCCTTTTTCTTTATCGACTTCTCCACCAGGGCCGCCAATCGCGAAACCTGCAGTTGCAAACTTGCAAGCTCCGCATCGCAGCCCTCCTGCATCTGCGGGCGGATCTGTTCTCCGCTCGCAGCAGTGCGCTCTTCGTCTCCAGCAGAGCACATCCCAACGTGACTTCCCTCGAGGGGCAAAAACTCTAGAGTGTTTGCGGCCTACGCCACTTATTTATCGGGTGAGACTGTTTTGGTGATGTATTAACTTCACGGGAGGTAGACGACCGTCCTTCACACGGACGAAAGAGGGAGTGNTGTTTGTGGTACTTGGATATGAGTCCGATCTGTGCATCCTCTGTGGGGGATACGCGTATGGGAAGTATGAGTATGACGGGTATTATGCGGTTGGGGTCCAAGTGCGGTGGGCACTTGCCTGAGGGGCTTGCGTGTTGGTGACCAGCTTGCCTGAGGGGCTTGCGTGACGGATACATATAAAACATGGTCCTTTATCATCTGCTGTTCCTGGGATAACGTAGCACCCAGTCTCAACACCACAGACGGCTGAGGGCGGCAGTGCACACTAACATGATGTATTAACTTCACGAGAGGTAGACGACCATCCTTCACACGGACGAAAGAGGGAGTGCTCAAAGAGCGGCTCCCACAGCAAGGAGGGGCCCCGTGAATCATCGCGGTGCCCCCTATCAAACGGNGAGTATGACGGGTATTATGCGGTTGGGGTCCAAGTGCGGTGGGCACTTGCCTGAGGGGCTTGCGTGTTGGTGACCAGCTTGCCTGAGGGGCTTGCGTGACGGATACATATAAAACATGGTCCTGTTTCATCTGCTGTTCCTGGGATAACGTAGCACCCAGTCTCAACACCACACAGACGGCTGAGGGCGGCAGTGCACACTAACATGATGTATTAACTTCACGAGAGGTAGACGACCATCCTTCACACGGACGAAAGAGGGAGTGCTCAAAGAGCGGCTCCCACAGCAAGGAGGGGCCCCGTGAAATCGCGGTGCCCCCTACCAAACGGCAATCTTACCAGTCTGCGTGACACCAAAATCATCCAGCACATGTATCCAACACCAGTCTTCGCAGACCCACGAACATGTCTGAGCTGTACACATCCATCATTGACCGTGTCACCTACCAACAGGGAACAAAATAGCGTACAGGATTCAAATTTCTGGTTTTAACAGCCATGGATGATCCAACGGCACATGATGCACGCAAAACCTCTGCGGCAACAAAATGCCATTGAAACCCTTGCTATTCACTGGGCAGCACGTGGATGCCGTTGTCCGCCGCAACTGCAGAGGCTTGAGCTTCCTTGGCTTTGTCCGCCCTCTGCTCGTGCCGGGGAATAGCGCCATCTCCCACTTCGGTGCCGGCGCCGGTCACTGCGTCGGGAGAGTGGGGACGGCTACGCGTACTCCCTATGACGTGGGGGCGGGAAGGTCAAGGCTAGCAGTCCCCACAACGCTAGGTTGACCTTGAGGGCACACTACGCTGTTGTTGCTGGCATCCCTGAAGGACGATTTTGACAGCATCGTCCTTCTCCTCCCGCTCTTGCTAGCATCATCGATGGCGTCTAGGCTCAACTTAGACGGCATCCATTCGGCCGCTGCGGCTGGCGTCAAACAGTGACGAGCCGCTACGGTTGGCGTTAAGCAGTAACGGAAGCTCTTCCGGCGGGGCCACGTTTCCCAGGCACACCTTCGAAGCCGGGAGTCAAAGGGAGAGCGTTCACGATGAAGAGTTATGCCTTGGTCCGTAAAGAGGAAACACAAGCCACGATGCCTTGTGTCGTGGCGGCACCGGGAAGCACAAGGGGTTGCACGAGATGCTGTGTGGAATTTTGGCCATGCTTCGGGTTTTGGGGCGCGTTGACCCACAGGAGGGAGACAGGAGACGAGGTGTCCCTCCTCGAACTGCCTACTGCCACCTCGAGGTGTCAAGTTTGACGACCTAACCGTTACTCGTGAATAGTTCAAGAACACAGCAGGTTTGCCTGCGCTCCGTCCCAAAAGAGAGGTAGGCGTGCCTGACAAGCCAACAGACGTTGAACACAGCAATGGAAACCATTGCAAACCCAGTGTCCCTCCGATATCCCTCGGTCCTCCCCGTACCATCTCTCAAGTAGTCGGGTTCTTGGGAAGGGCTCTTGCTGGGGACCCTTGCCTTCTACCGTGGCGTAAAGCCTCACCTCGTAGTAGATCTTGAGGCCCGTCAGATACATCAACCAGGAAAATTCGAAGGCCATCGGCTGGGGGTGTTGGTTAATGGAGGGACAAGAACGCACGGGCGGTAGATGCAGCGGCATGTACGTAGCAAACGAACGGCGTCTCGTCACTGGTGTCACCGTGGTGGCGACTTGGGGTCCCGTAGAATCATCTTGGCGGGTATTTCATGGTTGTATCAGGATACGAGTTGGCTCTTGCGTGGGCAAGAGGGTGAATGGCAATAGACCTCTTAGATCCTGGGAGATGCAAGGCTCGTGTTGAATCGACTGCCTTCATTCATTCTCGCCGTCTGTTCTGCTTCAGCCCTCAAATAAAACGTTCGTGGTGTGTGCTCACTCACATAGAAGACGGACCATAGTCCGAAATGGAAATAGTAGATCATTGTCATCAGCAGCCCCACCGTGTACACCGCCTGATTCAGAGAAAAACATGAAGCGATGGGTCAATTTGGCCACAAAAAAATACCCACCACAAAGGCCTGCTCTGGGAAAATGTTACCCTGCTCCAGTGTACCGCAGCCACTCGTCGGGTGCAGGATCTGGTCCGCGGTACGCCCGTGCAAACAAGCCCGTCCTCGCGTGTGTACCCTGACATTTCTTCTGTAGACTACAGCTCATTGGCGGGGGAGATTACAAAAAACTCGCGGGAAAAAGAGCAGCGAGAAAATCTATCCAAAATGTTTTCTCGACCGTGGTGACGAAATGATTGTTTGAGGTTCGACTTGACGTGGACGCACCAAAACGGAGAGCCAGTTTCAGTACATTTCAGAAGCTACAGCATCAGTCCCTGCCAACCGCGGCGTAACACAACGCCGGTCGCCCCGAATAAAGACGTGAAACCACATCTCTCTCCAAGAACGGGATACCCAAGATGTCTCACACCGCGATTAGCACCGTGTGCCCGGTATAAGGCGGGTCGAATCCGTCGGTACCACACGACCTTGTCCAGGAACCACTACCGTGCTCGCTCGCGAAAGATAGTCGATACTCACCTGCCAAAGGTAGGAGATGTCCGCGGTACTCTTCCGGGAATGAGCGTGGTAAATCTGCGGAAGCAGTGCGGTCGCTGCTTTTCATCGACGGGCACAATGCAGGCACAGAGCCACGGGACAGATATGATCCTTTCGCTGACTGGCCTGTATTCTACTTGGAGGACACCGCACCGAACCAAGACGAAGGTGCCTATTGTACTCGTTCTCGAAACCCTAGAACGGAGTAGAAAACACGGTTTTGTCGTAGTCGTTTGAGGACACAGCAACGCTGATCAAAGAATTTGAGGACAGGGAATCAAAATACGGTGGAAAACGTGACGTATCGCCGCCAACAGAGTAACAAGCACGTTGTATTTTGATCGGTTTCCGAGGGCTCTTTTCTCGAACGGTCGGTGCGATACCTGTTCTTTTCTTTCGATCATTTTGTTTTCTTTTTCCGAGTGGTTTGTACCCTATTATTTTTGTTTTTTTTTCCGCGGGTATGTGCCGGGTTTTGAGACCACGGGCTCCCCATTTTTTGTGGACTGAGAGCTAATGTGAGAAACAACAACAACAACAACTCACCCAGCACGACGCCCCCCACGAACCCGATGATGTTGAAGGGATCTTGCCATTCTCCCATTCTACGGCTGAAAAGGTGGAGAGTAGAGTATGAGGCGCATCCAGCGGCAACAAGGGTTGTGATCGACATGACCGGTTGGATACGTCAAACGTCGAAAACGTAAAATGAAAGGGTGGCTTGGAAGTGTGTTGTTGGTAGACTAATATGTCATCGAAAGCGTGTACCCTCTTAGTTGGGTGATTTGCCTGTCACCACGGAAGGCGTCCGCATCAGGTGTACAGGTACGGACGATTCAAGGTATGTATTGACCAGAAGACCTGAGCGGTTTATAATGTGAAGATGAATTGACGAGGACGACGACAACAATACGTCATCGACGACATCAACAGCAGTAGTAGTAGTAAGAGTAGCAACAAAAATAACAGTTGCAGAGCCTCTCGCGTTCCACGGCTACANCAGTAAGAGTACAGTAGCAACAAAAATAACAGTTGCAGAGCCTCTCGCGTTCCACGGCTACACGATCAGCTGTCATCCTCTCTCATGCGGCTACATTCTGGATTTTTCCCTCGTGGTAGACTGGACTACTACTTCCGGTGGAAGAACTATCCTCTTCCAAACTTAGTGCTGCTGCTCGTGTTGCGCCCGTTAGGCTTGGCTTGGCGAGAGAGAACACACGTGGTGGCCAGGCATCAGAGAATCGTGGGGAGACGGGGAAAGTGTGGAAACCGTTCGATATGTAAAAACCAAAACGTTCATCCGGTTGATCAACTTGGTACTGCTGTGACAATTTCTATCGCAGTGTGGAGCGGATCCGACCACTGGTATGCAGGTTAGCTGCTCCGTTTCAGCCCTATTCCTTCTTTACCCTTCCTTTCTCTTGCCGCCACTCGCTATCGCTCACCCCCAGGCAGCACTGAGCGNCCTGTGACAATATCGCAGTGTGGAGCGGATCCGACCACTGGTATGCAGGTTAGCTGCTCCGTTTCAGCCCTATTCCTTCTTTACNGCTGTGACAATTTCTATCGCAGTGTGGAGCGGATCCGACCACTGGTATGCAGGTTAGCTGCTCCGTTTCAGCCCTATTCCTTCTTTCCCCTTCCTTTCTCTTGCCGCCACTCGCTATCGCTCACCCCCAGGCAGCACTGAGCGAGAGGGAACGCATGAACACTACTCTGTAGCGCTACTTGCCGGTGGTCAGTGTGGTCGGTGAATAGATAAGAGATATTCCTGCCGAGAGGGCACCTTTACCCGAGGGTCCAAACACCATGACGATAGTACCCTTGAAAAAACAAGACACAGGACTACTACTCGAAAATCGAGGTCATTTGGGGCGGCAGGCGTCTCAAAACCCATGTATCCCCGGGTATTCCACCGAGGCGTCGGCCCTTTTGCGTCCCGCTCTCTCTTTGCCACGGCGTGCATCACCGCTGGCGCTGCTGGCGATGTGGAGCTCAGCTGCTGTAGTCTAGAGATCGCCGAGAGATGGAAGACACCCCGCATACTACAGGGTCGTCTTCGCAATCTTCTCATCATGCATACCCCCCTTAGAATCGAGGAGCAGCCGCTAGCCCGCCAGTCGCCCGTGTGGCCAATTGGTCTGAGCAACATGGATGGCGATGTCGCACGTGCAAGCACATTTATATTCGGCAAACGCAAGAAGCGACTGGCTCGCAGAAAACCGAGCGAGACACTGTGCGAGAACTCGGAAGTTGAGATCCGCCCGTGAGTGAGAAAGCGGGGTAGTTCTAGATTTATTTACCAAGTCTAACGGAAACCCACGAGCCCAAGGCTACGAGTAGATTTGATTTGCGACACTATGTTCCCTGTTGTGCNCGGCAAACGCAAGAAGCGACTGGCTCGCAGAAAACCGAGCGAGACACTGTGCGAGAACTCGGAAGTTGAGATCCGCCCGTGAGTGAGAAAGCGGGGTAGTTCTAGATTTATTTACCAAGTCTAACGGAAACCTACGAGCCCAAGGCTACGAGTAGATTTGATTTGCGACACTATGTTCCCTGTTGTGCAGTGCTAGAAGCGGCACGTGGCAAGTTTGCAAGGCAGGCCAACCCTACTTGGGAAACCTGGTCAAGACTTGTTCCAAAATGATTGGGTTGTCAGATGAGCTGTTTGGCTCATCCGTGCGGTGGTCGTACTACTGCTGTAGGCTACTTTCGTAGATTTTATGAGGCGCTACGCAAGCTAGGCTGCTTGCTTCCGCGTGTTCCTGGAGTAGCACGGCTGGGTGAGCGTGGGCCGGTATCGATGACGAGTAGACGCAGAACGGGTATCGAGAGCGGCGCATCTTTGCCATCAATCCATCCTAGTTATGGTAACTTCTAGCATTGCTTCCGCCTCCGGGGGGCGGGGGGGGGCTATGTGTCCGGATTTTTTTTCCACGAATACCCTTGGTAGAGGCCGTTTTGATCATGGGCTGATTTTTCGAAGTACTGCTGAAATACCACGAATCTGGGAAAGTGATCGGGGAAATGCAAAAAGGTATTTCCGCCCAGATGGTATCTTAGTCCAAGGGTCCAAATACCACAACACACCACGTGTTTCCAGTGTATGCACATAAGGTCGACCCCGCTTTAAGGACGTTCGCGTCAAGGGAACTCCCCGCTGCTTGCTGAGTCTGTCCGGCAGAATGTACGATAATGGGTTACCCCCATTTTTTCTGCCGCGTGCCTCGCTTTGTGTGTCCTGCGGGCCGCTCTTTGCATGCACCACGCACCACAGTAATGAGTACAGAAGTAGCGACGCACAGACAGTGGAAGTAGCGAGCGATCTGCTGCTGCTGCAGCTGTAACTGGGTGTTGGCATGGATAGATTTCTCCCATCTACCGGCGGTCCACCTGATGCCGCCAAAAAAAAAGTCGTGCATAACCTCGTCCCTCACCGAGGGCGAGGTTATTATCTATCTCTCGCTCGGAGGACGTTCGATCCTATTTGTACGCTAAGAGAAGGGGCGGCGGGTACCGTGAGACGCAGTACATTCTTTCGATGATNTCTGTCCGGCAGAATGTACGATAATGGGTTACCCCCATTTTTTCTGCCGCGTGCCTCGCTTTGTGTGTCCTGCGGGCCGCTCTTTGCATGCACCACGCACCACAGTAATGAGTACAGAAGTAGCGACGCACAGACAGTGGAAGTAGCGAGCGATCTGCTGCTGCTGCAGCTGTAACTGGGTGTTGGCATGGATAGATTTCTCCCATCTACCGGCGGTCCACCTGATGCCGCCAAAAAAAAAGTCGTGCATAACCTCGTCCCTCACCGAGGGCGAGGTTATTATCTATCTCTCGCTCGGAGGACGTTCGATCCTATTTGTACGCGAAGAGAAGGGGCGGCGGGTACCGTGAGACGCAGTACATTCTTTCGATGATCGCTCATTCGTATACTCATGACACTCAACAGAGCCGTAGAGACAAGCCGCGGGAGGAGGTTCAGGGAACTCTTTGCGATATGTGGAGGGAAAAGTCGCCCAAGGGTAGAATCGTAGCTTGTTTTGGTCTGCGCCGGGACAGTTATTAGCTATATGTAGTGCTGGTGTTCCTCGGTGCGACGCTGAAATACGCTCGTTGAATTTGTTTCACAAGAATGAGATAAATAGTCTTGTCTAGATCTATGTGTCTACTTGTACTTTCCCCCTTCTTCCGCCGCCCGCGATGCAGTACATTGGTTGGAAAAGTACAAACTTCTGTGCTGTAGTTAGATGTTTTCAACACGTCCCCGACTGCTGTAGTCTACACGTCATTTTAAGTATTGTAAGGGTGGTTCTTATCGACCGAGAAAACACGGAATACTTCACGGAACCGTTTTTTCTTGAACACATATGGAGGCGTTTTTCCCCGAAAACGTGAAAAGAGGAAGCCGGGATTTTTTGGGGCTTGGTCCTTTCACGGTTCCGGGGAAAAACGCCCCGCTTTTTCCGGGCAGCCGAAGCAGACACCGGTCACGCGTGCTGCCTTCATCACACCACACCTAGACAGCACCCACAACACCCCAAAAAGCTTCCCACGGCAAGTCGACCACCATGGCTGAGCGCGGGAAGCGCCAGGATCCCACAGACCCCGCAGCGCAACGCTGGGAGAAGCGCCGTCGACGAGCTATCGACGAGGAGAATGCAGCCCANAGCTTCCCACGGCAAGTCGACCAACATGGCTGAGCGCGGGAAGCGCCAGGATCCCACAGACCCCGCAGCGCAACGC